CTGTCTGTCCCGTATGAGATCCTAAAAAACACACTTTAAAATGTTCAGCGCTTTAAAACATTTGTCGCGGAGTTGCAAATGCGGCCTTTACGTTAGGCAATTGTCAAAAAGCAGGCCCAGTAGTGGACGGCGGCATGATGATGGTGATGATTGATATCATAGAGCGCGTCGGCTACTTGGGCCATTTTGCGCTCTCCCCACATTTTAATTGCCACGGCGACTTTAGGGTGCTGTTGAGTTGAGCGTTATACGAATATTACAACAGTGGTCAAGAGCAGTACCACGTCACGTAGACCAACCACGAGATGTTCACCCTATAAGTGAAGTCAGGGTAACTTTACGTCGACAGAAATGTTGCCTCTCAGCAAATAAATGCGCAACATTCTACCAGTGCATGCCTGACAGTTAGTATCTCGCCGCAACTATCGCATATAGGGGCGTCTGTTTTCATTGCTCAGTCGGAATCAGTGTGTGCTTTAACTATGGCCAATGCGTAGGCGAGTCAATATGAATTCTTCTCTCCTCGACCGACGACGTGAGGACGACCAGTGGCCTATCCCGGGTTAAATGGATTTAAGCTTGTTCTGGCTGCTCTCTTGCTCCCAACTTATCTGTCATTCTGTTGCAACATGCAGTTTTATTGACGCGTACAGATCGCTTGCAGGAGCTCCCACTGCGCCGGTTGGGTGGCAGCAGGGCGGCTGCTTTTGCAGGCTAGTCAGCCGACTCGTTTCTAGCCAGGCCTACGCGGCTGGGGATCCAAGTCAGCGATACCTGCTGGCTCCTTTGCCGCAGGCTAAAAGGTTTACTAAGGATCAGCTGCGCTAGATATGTGTCTGTCGTCGATATGTTTTGGATACTCAAAACCGAGCCGAGCGAGTCAGTAAATATTGTGCATGACGGTAGGCTATGTCGTAAAATGCAATCTAGACAGTTCAAGATGACAGTCAAAACAGAAGCCGCTGACGGTGACTCAATCCATTCAGAACCTCGCAGCGACACGAATATGCATCCGGTCCCCAGGTTCGTTCTGCATCCATCCGTGTAGAAGTGTGCTGACCGTCTGTGCGTTGTGCGCATGACCTTTTGATATTTATTTTTCAGCTCAGCAGCGTGCGTCAGTCTCTTGGAGAACCTGACGAGTGATGTATCACACGTGGGTGGTAAGGCTAGCCACGGTCCTCTGAATGAAAGAACGTGAGGCTGTATTTGGCGCACATTTGCTCCAGCGGCACATAGCCACTCACTCACACGTACACAGAGTGGTCGCATTTTACCTACCCTTTCATGAGAAAAGAAGCCCACCAGATCTGCGGAGAAGATCGTGTCGTGAGCTGGGTGCGTGCGAAGCTGGTGTATCCTGACCGCATACCGCATGGCTACCTGGAGGCGCCTCAGGTCCAGTGGTGGTTCGTTGGCGTCTACGAGCAGGCACGTCGTGGGTGACGCGCGGAAAGCGCCGGCCACGATGCGATATGTATCCCTTGATGATGAATGCTGTCCAGCACCTTCATGCTAGATTCGTGGGCCGAGCCGAAGACTGTGCATGCACAGTCGAATTTTGACATAATCAGTGAGCGCAGCATGGCCAAACATGGCCATGCCCAGAGCTTTGCGGTCTCCCCCGTACGTCACGCGTGAGACCACCTTAAGGATGTCTGCGGCCTTAAAGCACCTAGTGCAGAGATGCTTGAAGTGGCCTACATAGGAAAGACTGTGATCTAAAACAAGACCCAAAAACTATCAACCACCGGAATAATGCTATTATACCGGCTCACCTACGGGCCACTGCAATGTTTCCTGTTGTTGCAGAAGTGCATGCACACTGTCTTTGTCGTTAATAGTGTAAAACCGCTTTTGGAGCTCCATTTAACGACTTTATCCACACAGAGCTGGAGGTGATTTGCTGCAGATGCCATGCTGGATTGCCATAACCCAAATTGCAAAATCGTCCACAAATAACAAACGTCCGGCGTGCGCATACAGGTTGTCCCCGATATCGTTCACCATGAGCGCAAACAGTGTCACGCTTAATATTCTGCCCTGCGGAACACCGTTGGGTAGCGGGGATCTCCCTGCATAGGTGCTCCCTGCTCAAATTCTAAAAGAACGGTCACGGAGATACTTTGCTGAAAAAAAACAGCCAATGTGCGCGCACACCGCATTGGTGGAGTTTCGAGAGAATGCCGCGACGCCAGGTGGTATCAAACGCGGATTGAATATCAAAGAATGTTGCTCAAACGTGTTCCTTCTGTCAGAAAGCCTTCTGTACTGCGGTGTCTAAAACAACGAGATGGTCCAGGGCGCATCGATTTTTTTCCGAAAACCGCCTTGCCGGCTGGTCAACAGACCCTCAGTCTCTAAAAACCACATCAATCTCGCACTAATCATCTTTCCAAAGACCTTGCATACGCAAGCCGATCTGTAAGCCCGTGGATCTCATTCGTCCTCATTTGGTTTGAGAATCGGACTAATGATACATTCACTCCATTTTGGCGGAAAGGCGCTTGTGTCCCAGAGGTAGATGAAGGTGTTTAATAATGGTGAAAGAAATTGACTTTTAAGGCGTTGAAGTATGTCGTTGGTCATTTGATCAGCGGCAGGTGCCACGCTTCTGGTTCTGACAATATCAACGTGGAAGGTGCCATGACATTGTCAAATCATGACGCATTGCGGAGCGTATTTACCACACAGAGAATTTGGCCGTCTTAAGCAGTCTTTTCCTTTTCAAAATATACCAGTAGCTGTTACCAGTAAATGCATATCAAGTCAGCTTATCAAATCTGAAGCTTGCTTTATTACCTTCAAATGTGAAGCATTCCTTTCAAACTGTGGCTGAGGACAATAAGCGTAGATTAATTGAGCAACTCGGGTAAAACTTGGGTCATTCAGTTAGTTCCACCATTCAAGGCTTCTGACCATTACACTTTTAAAGAACATTTTGTAACATGACAGAGGGAGTTGCAGGCATTTCTCACCTTTGCCAATTTTGACACTTTATTGGGGGCTGCGATCATCTAAATAATCCATTTTTTCGGTCTTTTTGCGTGGCATGATGTGATATACGGGATATATACGGGATAGGTTCTATATATATACGGGATATATACGGGATAGGTTTCTGAAGTCATATATCACACATGAATGTCTTGGTTTTTATGTTGCATGGTTGAAAATTCTGAAAATCATTTCATGCCCGTCCTGCCATCCGCCACTACATGTACCCACAACATGGTCACATTGCAATTCGTATTGAGCGGTATCCAAATCGCAATTTACACAATGTTCTACAGAAATTTAGCCACATCACGCCAACTGCCGCCAGGTACACATCGGTGACTATGTCAAACGGCACAATCAAAAGACATAGGCTTGTAAACTGTGGTGAAGGTGATACAAGCATGGTATGATCCGTCTCGTAATGGAGTTATCAACAAAACATTTCATTCCAGGCCCAGGTCTTAAAACTTTCGGGACTGCGACCACAGCGGGAAGCATATGACGTTCTAAAACGCGTGCCAAGCCGGATGGGCCGAGTTAGATCTGGCCCGAGTTAATTTTTTCATGGTCAAGTAGGAATCGCCGGTCGCTGGCCGCACTCAAACACAAATTACGACATAACCTAAAAAGTAGGGCTCCTGGTTTTACCACGGCCGATGTCCAGCACAACATATGATCGATGTGTGGACCTGCCTCACCGCCATCCCGTCAGCTGCAGTAAGCTTCCCCTGGTTTTACCGCGGCTGATGTCAAGCATAACATATGATCGATGTGTGGGCCTGCCTCACCGCCATCCGTCAGCTGCAGCAGCATCCCCCTGGTTTGACCACGGCCGATGTCCAGCACAACATATGATCGGCGCGCGGGCCTGCCTCACCGCCATCCCGTCAGCTGCAGTAGCTTCCCCAGCGGCCTAGATCTTTCTAGTTTCCATCCAGCTACTGGCTGGTGCGGGCCAATTTTCAAAAGACTGTCCATAAAAACGGCGCTGGTACCACCGTCAATTTTCAGGCTTTCGAGGCACGCTTCCGGTTGCCTGTCGCGCAGTCGGTAGCCTACCCGGCCCCTAACTGAAAGGTCGCGGATTTGTAGCTGGGGACGGCAAAGAACTTTGCTGCCTGTTCTTTATGGAATATGTCGAATCGTTGGCTTACAACATGCGATCAGTATAATGCAGCATTTCATTCCTTGCGAGCTTCCAACGAAAATTCTGGACATAACTCAAAGTTTGAACCCTGATGCGCATCTTTATCAAGTGCATCGCGCCACATTCAGTTCTGAACTGCCAAATATTTAATGGGAATAATAAAGATCTAGCACAGAGTGCAGGCCTAGCAGATCTATAAGTTACGCTGACATTTAGGGACTGGACTTTGGTCTACCCGGAATTTATTACCCTGGGTCCACACTTCAGCTATAGCTTGGATCCGGCTTTCAGGCAAGCCAGATCAAACTCAGGCTTCAAGCGTCACGCCGTGTTTTTGTCCGCTATCATTGAGCCTCTGCATGATAACGTTTTCCCGGCTATCGTTGTCACCCTGTCGACGCTGTAGAAACTACGGACATCGGTCACAAACCTTTTATTAGCATGTCCAAAAACCAACTGTATCATAAAGAATGATTTCTAATGATCTCTACATTCTTTTGAAGGAACACGCTACCAATGGGCCGAAGGCTGAAAAAAGAGAAAACTGCCCCAAAAACCAAAGCGCTCACACCGAACTGTTTGTAATGACATCGGTGCTCAGGGTTCGCCTACATCGCTCTGCGTCCGCGATTACACAAATATCTCCAAACCATGGGTATATAACACTATCCACATATATATAGATGGTATACGCACAGTATCTCATTACACGTACTATCAGAATATTACTTCAGCATTGGGGTCACACCCTACACTCCACGATCGACCAGGGACAGCGACCGCCTATCTCTCTTCACGAGATACCGCACGCAGGAAGCCCATGCCCTCCTTAGGGGTCAGTAGGAACTTGTCCTCATCGAGCGGCATGGGCGGCGGCGGCGTCCGCTTTGCTCGGCTCCAGCCGGTTCTCCCGCAGCACGGCAATCAGCGCCACCTTCGCCTCGAACAGCGCAAACCGCATGCCGGTGCAGTTGCGCGGCCCGCTGCCGAAAGGCATGTAGGCGCAAGGGTTGGCGCGTCTCCTTCGCCTCGGGTAGGAAGCGGTCCGGGTCGAGGAGCAGCGGGTCCGGGGTAGTACGCATGATCGCGGTGGATGTTCATGATTGACATTTGGATGATCGTGCCGCGCGGGATATGCACGTTCGTGTCGGGCAATGTGTAATCTCGGCTACACTGCTGCTCCATGCGGATGACCGGCGGGTACAGCCGCAGCGTCTCGGACAGCACCCGGTCCAGATAGGTCATCTCTGCCACGGCGTCGTAGGTCAGCTGGCCCGTCGTGTCGCTGCAGGACGTCGTCGATCTCGCGGTGGGCGTCGTTCTGGACGTCCGGCGGGCGTCGCCAGGCAGTAGGCGGCGAACGCTAGCAGCGAGGCTGTCGTGTCGTAGCCGACGATGAGGAACAGCACCGACTGGCTGTTAATGCTACTGTCCCTAAGGATGTGTCTACCGTCCTTGTCCTTGGTGTCCAGAAGCAGTTGGAGGAAGTCTTTGCGCAAGTTGCCGGCCTCGTGCTACCATAGGGCGCTTTTGACAACATGTTTGAAAAATGCATTGATGCGCGCAAACGGGTCAGGTAACAGCCAGGAGAGCACTGACAACGCCACCGAACTCACCCACCCGATCAAGGCGGTGCGTAAGAAGCGCACGCGCCCCCCGCGCGGCCGTACACGGCTGTCGTCTGCCACCGCGAACTCTACGTTTCGTCAAGTTAGAACGACATTGCACGCTCACAATCGCGTGTCACATCCTGTCTACTCACAAATTACAATGAAATTTAGCTCACAGGTAGACCCAATTACGTCATGGCTGAGTATATAATTCAATAAGTATGACATCCAAAAAGGAGTAAATTGAGATTGCATTCACGTCGCATCGCTCCACCTAGCCTCCAAATATTAGATTGTGCCATTTAAACGTTCACCTTCCACAGGCATTCAAATATATATTTCATGGCAGTAAAATGGCAGAGAGGCTCCTTTGATCACCTTGAAATTTTCCACAGATGTGAATCATGTGCATATACAGTTTTTATCATGTGGCAAGTCGCCACATTTCCATTCACGGATTCCAGAGGCTCTCAAACAATGGGATATATGACGCATCACTAAGACGACACAAACGGCGTCGCAATATGTCACAAAGACCAAGGAATGCTGAAACAATGCATCTCCTATGATGTAATTAGCCGTTGCCTCTCATATGTGTTTTATGACAGTACGGCATGGAAAATGTGACGTACAAATAAAAAATGTCACATTCGATGTCGGTTTTCACACAGTCGCGGACTCCTCTGATTGCTTTGAAACTCGCCTCCAGCAATTACCAAAGCACCAAAATAATCAGCGTGCAATTACTTTCCTTGATTTGGTGGCTTTGGCCATTGGTGCTCCGAATCCTGGTGTGATTGATTGCCTCTAATTTTCACGAATTTATCATGCAAAAATATAATAATTCACGCAAGAAACCAGCAATGTGAGTTATAACGTACAGACAGCGGAGGACTAAAATAGGTACTAAAAAGGCGAAATGATAGCCAGGTCATGGACACACGACTAATTAAGAAAATATCCCAGTTTTTCACCTTCATGTATCAAATTTTCTGCTGCTGCAAGTAACGTTCGTACTTGCCATAATCTTAATCGCTTTAATCATATATCTGCTAACTTACGGTCCGTTGCAACCCGACCAAAAAGGCACGTACCCTCTTACCTCATTATCGCACTTATTGCACTTCCTATGTTATTTGAATGTGATATTTTTCATTTAGATGTCACACTTTGAATGTCATACTATCATACGACACGCCAAGTGGGGTACAGTGGACAAATACATCTTACAGGATGCACTGTATGGCATTGCTTAGTCTTGGTAGCATGCTACGCCATTGCTTGTGTCGTTTTAGAGATGTCATATGCCTCATTGCTTGAGAGCCTCTGAAATGCGTAAATCTTGAATGTCACAACTTGCTACGTGGTGGAAAATTTTACACATACATGTCGAATATTTGTGTCAAATTTCGAGGCCATCGATGGGTCTCTTATCTATTTAGCTAATCGCCTATCGTCTAGTTGACACGTGCAAGGCCGTCATTCCAAGGTTTGAATGCCTCTGGGAGATGAACGTTTGAATGTCGCACTATAATATTTGGTGGCTAGGTGGAGCCATGTAAGGTGATTATTTGTGGCGAATTTCAAAGCAATCAGAGGAGTCGGTGAATGTGTGAAAACCGACACCGAATGTGACATTTTTGATTTGTAAGTCACATTTTGCATGCCATATCGTCATATGGCACAACATATGAGAGGCAACGGCTAATTACATCATAGGGGATGCATTGTTCAGCATTCCTTGGTCTTGGTGGCGTATTACGACGCTGGATGTCTCGTTTTAGTGATATGTCATGTACCTCATTGCTTGAGAATGCCCCTGGAAGATAAACGTTTAGATGTCATACTATAATATGTGGTGGCTAGGCTGAACCATGTAAGGTGATTATTTGTGGCGAACTTCAAAACAATCAGAGGAGTCGGCGAACGTGCGAAAACTGACATCGAATGTAACATTTTTGATTTGTACGTCACATTTTGCGTGTCGTACCGTCAGATAGCGCAGAAAAGGAGGGGCAACAGCTAATCACATCATAGGAGATGCGTTGTTCAGCATTCCTTGTTCTTTGTGACCTATTACGACGATGTTTGCGTCGTTTTAGTGATATGCCATATATGCCATTGTTTGAGTCTCTGGAATGAGTGAATGGAAGTGTCACAAATTGCCACTTGGTGAAAAACTATAATGTATAAACATGGTGCACATTTTTGCCCAATTTCAATGAGATCGGAAGGAGTCTCTCGTCCATTTAGTTGACATACAATGTGTATATGTTAACACATGCGAGGGGTCATTTTTAAGGTTTGAATGCCTCTGGAGGGCGAACGTTTAAACGTCATACTATAATATTTGGTGGCTAGGTGGAGCCATGTAAGGTGATTATCTGTGGCAAATTTCAAAGCATTCAGAGAAGTCCGCGAGTGTGTGAAAACCGGCATCAAGTGTCACATTTTTTTTTATTTTACGTCACATTTTGCATGTCATTCCTTCATATGGCACACCATATGACAGGCGACGGCTAATTACATCATAGAAGATGCATTGTTCAACATCCCTTGGTCTTGGTGGCATATTACGACGCTGGATGTCTCGTGTAACGGATATGTCATATACCCCATTGTTTGAGAGCCTCTGAAATGCCTAAATTCAAATGTCACAAATTACCACTTGTTGAAAAACAGTATACACACATGGTACACACAACAACCTTGCACAACAATGATCAAGAGGCACTTGACGACCGTCTGCTAGATCTGGAAGTGGCGCTCACGAATGTCTCGCCAATGGTTTTTGTTTTTTGTTTTTGTTTTATTTTGACTACCGCATGGCTTATGTAGTACTAGGATTTGAATGGCGTTATTATGACGTCACCAATGATGAGGTGACTTTGAATTCTCTCCGCCCCATTTTGGCGGGCGTGTGGTTCAGAAACTAGAGTGGCTTAGGTCGTGAGAGGGGCGGGATTGTGAACAGCAACTAAAGGTCTTCCAGACGGCTTTTTCAGTTCAAAACTCCCCGCAAATGTGGAAAACTCCGTTTAATGTGCCATGGTAACGAGTAAGCGAAGCTTGATTGTACTTACATGTCAGCGGGTGATCCCGCTCAGGGCCACCTGCAGGGAGGCGGGGGGGGGGGGGGGGGCGTTATCCTGAAAAGGAATTCTTGGTTCTGCACGTTTTGTCCTGCGCTGCGCCTGGCATGGCGCCTATGACGGATGTTCGAGAGCACTGACCTGAAAATAATTCAGCCCTGGCCTGGAAACAGTATAGCCACATGGGTCATCACTATGTGGAAAGCACTGCGTGGTTGGTAGTCACAAAAAGTCTTATGACCAACAGCATGCAGTCTAAGTCCTTCGCAAAACATACAAATGTTGATTCAATTTTCTTGAGGAGGAATTTTCCATAGTGCTCTGACATGTTTCGAACGAATTCTGGCACATACGGAAATGTGCTGGCCCTCAAACAATGTAATGCTTCCAGCGTAGCAGTGTTGCAGTTTTGAATACAAATCACGTTATGTTCTGCTCACTACAGGAAAATGGACAGTGGTACGACTTAGAACTGAATTAAGACAGAGAATAGAAGAACTGGAGATAAGCGTCGGAAACGAGTGATGAATGCAGAGTCCTGCGGAGGCGCCGACCCATCCGCTACATTGGCCACTTTACACGGCGAACGAACAAACGAACGGGAAATTTAACTACGTAATTAACGGATCAGCAGGTTAACGGGCTCGTGCCCACCTATGCACGGGCGTTTGTGCATGTGTACTGATGTGCCAGTTTCTCCATGTGTGACGATTGCGCCACAACACGCCATCCGGGAGCGTGGCGGTGCACTTGACTGGTCGGCAGCCAAGGTGACCTTGGGTGGCGGGCCGGCCGCCAGGGTGGCCTTGAGCGTCAGAGGCGGGAGTGCGCGGCGGCAGACAACAGTCGTAGACGGCCGGGTGCGGCGTGTCCGCGCCTCTTGCGCGCCGCCATGATCGGGTGGGTGAGTTCCGTGGTGTTGTCAGTGCTGTCCTGGCTCTTTTCGCCGCTGCCGCTGGCGGTGCTGGCCGTCTTATTCGTCTGCGTCTACTTCTACGTCACCAGGCACTTTGACTTCTGGAGATCCAGGGGAGTGTTGGGCCCGACCGCCAGGTTTCCCTGGGGCACGGAGATGGGACCGCCGTTCATGACCCCCTTTGTCACGTTCGAGGAATGGCTTTACTACGAGAAAGGAGGTAAGAATTTCTGCGGCTACTTTGAGCTGAGTTTGCCAGTGCTGTACGTCGGGAATTTGGACCTGATTCAGAGGATCACAATCAAGGATTTTGAGTACTTTACGGACCGGCGCGAGCTCTTGCTCACGGAGGAGTTCGATGAGATGTTGCAAGTACTGAACGGGAAAACGTGGAAGGACACCAGATCTGTGATGTCGCCAACGTTTTCCTCTAGCAAACTCAAGATAATGCATGAGTTGTGCTTGGAAAACGCCTCAAACCTCAACAAATACGTGCAAGACGAGATGAAGAAGAGTGGCGAACTCGAAATTAAGGATTGTTTCGGTCGGTTCACCATGGATAACATCGCGTCCTGCGCGTTCGGTGTCAACTGCAACTCGTTTAAAGACCCCAACTGTGAATTTGCCAAGAACGCGGAAGAGCTTTTCAAGGCCCCTCGCGGATATTCCGGCTTCCGACTCTTGCTCATCCTTCTGTTTGGTTTGGGGTCCGTGCGCCTGTTACCAGACCCGTTTGCGCGCATCAATGCATTTTTCAAACATGTTGTCAAAAGCGCCGTACGGCAGCGCGAGGCCGGCAACTCGCGCAAAGACTTCCTCCAACTGCTTCTGGACACCAAGGACAAGGACGGCAAACGCATCCTTAGTGACAGTAGCATTATCAGCCAGTCGGTGCTGTTCCTCATCGTCGGCTACGACACGACAGCCTCGCTGCTAGCGTTCGCCGCCTACTGCCTGGCGACGTCGCCCGACGTCCAGAACGCCGCCCACCGCGAAATCGACGACGTCCTGCAGCGACACGACGGCCAGCTGACCTACGACGCCGTGGCAGAGATGACCTATCTGGACCGGGTGCTGTCCGAGACGCTGCGGCTGTACCCGCCGGCCATCCGCATGGAGCGCCAGTGTAGCCGAGACTACACATTGCCCGACACGAACGTGCATATTCCGCGCGGCACAACCGTCCAGATGCCGATCTTGAACATCCACCGCGACCCTGAGCACTACCCGGACCCTCTGCGCTTCGATCCGGACCGCTTCCTACCCGAAGCGAAGGAGGAACGCCACCCGTGTGCCTTCGTACCCTTCGGCAGCGGGCCGCGCAACTGCATCGCCATGCGTTTCGCGCTGTTCGAGGCGAAAGTGGCATTGATTGCCGTGCTGCGGGAGAACCGGCTGGAGCCGAGCAAGCGGACGCCGCCGCCGCCCATGCCGCTCGATGAGGACAAGTTCCTACTGACCCCTAAGAAGGGCATGGGCTACCTGCGTGCGGTATCTCGTGAACAGAGATAGGCGGTCGCTGTCCCTGGTCGATCGTGGAGTTGTAGGGTGTGACCCCAATGCTGAAGTAATATTCTGATAGTACGTGTAATGAGATACTGTGCGTATACCATCTATATATAATGTGGGATAGCTGTTATATATCCATGGTTTGGAGATATTTGTGTAATCGCGGACGCAGAGCGATGTAGGCGAACCCTGAGCACCGATGTCATTCACAAACAGTTCGGTGTGAACGCTTTGGTTTTTGGGCAGTTCTCTCTATTTTCAGCCTAGGGCCCTTGTTAACGTGTTCCTTCGAAAACAAAAACAAAAATGCAGAGACTATTAGAGATCATTCTTTATGATACAGTTGGTTTTTGGACATGCTAATAAAAGGTTTGTGTCTGACGTCCATGGTTTTTGCAGCGTCGACAGGATGACAACAATAGCCGGTAAAGCGTTTATAGCTGTATGTGCAGCAGGCCAGACACAAGATCCCATGCTCTTCATCCCACTAAACACATGTCTTACGGGGGCTTTGCGTAGCTCGCGGTATGTATGTTTATATATGCATATATATATATATATATATATATATATATATATATATATATATATAAGCCGTCTCAGTAAACGCTTGCCGCGTTCTGAACAGAAATGGGGATGTGCGAAGATGAGTAAATTAGATTGGAAAGGACCACATGCGTGTTATAGATGCTGTCACAAGGCGCTGGCCTCAACAGAACGGTGGTCGGTGCGCTACTTCTGGCCTGACATTATTGCACTTAGTCGAATAACTCCTTCGTAGGCTTGCGTTTCCCCTCAACGGCCAGTATATTATTTGTTTGATTGATTTCCTTTTGCTTCATCACGGTCGGTTTGTTAAGTCATCTTTATGCTTCATTTGTTCCCGAGTTTTTGAAGTGATGGTCATTGCGCAGTTATGCCCTGTGCTTTGCAGTGGAATACGCTTTGGCGGCACTTACATTGAGGCGGAGAATGCGCAAGGCCTCTGTCATGGTCGCGTCAGCGTCGTGGTCACGTGGTTATATATGTAACATTCAATATGGGAAATTCATGCGAAACACATTACACATGATGTTATGAAAGTAATATACGAATCCAAAAGTCGAGAACGTCCCTTGACAACATTTTAGAATCGATTCCTATCGGCTTTTCAGATATGATGAGAGCCCTTTCAGGCAGCGAGATACCTTTGGGGATGCAAGGGCAGGTCTTGACGATGTTGGCTGACGTACGTGCATCGGTACATGCATTGATACGATGCCAACGTCATCCGTTGGCATCGTATCAATGCAATAATTGAGTACTTGTCCGTAGTGGTGGCCATGACGGACGGAACGGCCGTTCTGCCCATGCTGAGCAATGGGACTCTCGCGCGTCCTTGACTAGAAATCTGCTCACCAATAAAATCGCAATCATAACTGTGAACGGCGCCATCGGCGCCCATGGCGCCACGGGACCCAAATGTCATTTCCTGAATCCGCCACTACGCTTGACCCCTGAGACCTGGCTTTTCCCGTATGATGTTACGCGTTGCCGTCTCCTCTGCACGTGCTCTCACAGGCGTGGCGAAAACGAGCCATCAAGGCCACTTAGGGCCGCTTTTGAACCTTGAAAGGTTACCAATAGTTACAAGTAAGCTTTTCCCCATCATATCTGATGCTTATCTCAATATCTTTCAATGTGGAATCTTCCTTAAAAAGACAACTGAAAAACCGGTATTCTCCCGACACATTTTTGCTCGAAACGAATTTTAAAGCGTATGTATGTGTCAAATTCAAATATAGAACTAGATACGCACATCACTGTTATTGATCATGTGTTTAGATTCCAGCGAAGAAGATCTTAAGGTTCAAACTCTGCTCCCTAAAAAAAAAAATTATAAGCGGTTTTGCTTGGCTGTTCTACTTACCAGCCATCAACCACGTAAAGGTCCTCACAACGGGTTGTGCTTGCTTTCACTAGAGACCCCTGTGTCAGGGCAAAGCCACGCCGGCACAGGAAAGAGATCGATCTACCTATACTAATATATCGTCGGACAACACGTCAGGCACTTAATCGCCGAATACAACGGCACCGGTCCTAAGGGCTGCTCGAGACACAGACGGACGAGCAGGAAAGCCCCAATGATCCGTACAATGTCGCATAACGGCTATGTGCAAGTGCAATGTGGATGCCGCTGCTGGCCACAGTTCGTAACTCAGTCAGGCTACCGCCGCCAGCAGCCGGCCCACTAGCTGGCTGGATGCAAATGAAGAGGGTCAAGAGGTTCGAAATCAAGCAAGGCTCAAGAGATCCAACAATACCATCTGAGTTCGCACGGACCAGCTTAGCAAACAAACGCATACGAGGGGATGACAGCTAACAAGAAAACACACGTCAAGCAGACAACAGCCAGCTTTCTAATGCACTTCACACGAATTTGTAATGCGGTTCGGATGACGCTACCACTGTGGCTGGCGCTAAACGTTACTTACGGCTCCAGCCAACAAAGGCGATGGCCCTGATATTCTTAGCGCCCAGGAGCTAAAAACTATAACCTAGTCCACATGGCGCGCGACGATCAAGAGCGTTACACATGAGGGCGTTGCCGTAATAATTTTGTGCCACCACGCATGGTTGAAATACACCAACTGAAGTAAATTGAAGCGCGGGGCGCTAGGGGCGGGCGTAAAATTTCACAAGTCATCGGGAGCTTAACGCAAAAAATTACTGAAACCCAAGTGCAAGGCGTTGCAGGTGCACACAATGTCTTATGGACCGTTAAAAAGCATTGAATGTTCTCTACCTGCTTAATGTTATGCGGTCTTCATTTTTTGCTGTCCACTTAATAAACAAGGCAGGCATGTAGGTTTGCCGTGTTAATTTTATGATGCTGAACAGGCTTTGTTCCATTTCAATGTAGCTTCTCCTGGACATGGAACTATAGGTTGTTATGCACAAAATTGTGCACTTCACTCTAAAGCACAGTAAGATCTTACAGTTCTGGCGTATGTTGTGTTTGGTGTAGCAAATAATCTAACCGGAAATATGTCTACATATCAGTGGAGATAGCAGATAGATCACTTACAAAAATTACAAGGTGACATTAGGAACTAAATCATGCAGGTCAGGTGACATAGCTTGAGCATCTACCTGCCCGTGACGCACTGCACTGCACAAAAAACTTGGATTTCGAAGATCTCTGCGACTGCACGACCGCACAACACGCAACAACATGCAACTCGACGAGAATACAAGTCGACATCCGTATGCATGATGGTATGTTGATCACCAAAGCGCTTAAATGGTCGCACATGTTTCCATATTTTACATGCGTGTCCACGTGTCATGTTTGTGTCGATTTGAGCGGTCGTGCATCTTACTTGCAGGGAGGTTGGTTACTGGACATGGAGCAATCCCGTAGAAGTTTCGGCCTCATAATGCGTAATTTCGGACCCGAAAGCGATGAGACAGTCGGTACACTTTAATGCGCACTGGTCATATTGCATGTGCTTTTTTTAGCTTCATGTAACATACGTGTAAACACTTCATGTTTGCAGCAGGTTGAGCGGTATCGCAGCTAATCTACAGGGTGATACATGTGTGCAATCTATGGTGCGCGTAAATGTGCCAGCTAAGTGGCTTTATCCACCCAGTGCCCGCACCGTTTGGCAAGGCTCTGGCTACGTCCCTGCCTGCATTTAAAAGTAGATGAAGTCGGCTACGTCGAATGAAGGGCAAATTAATGCTCGGTGGAGCAATTCATGTCAAACACGGATGCCTTCCCGAAAGCTTATTTTCTGCTGTCGTTTAGTGTAAGGGAAGATGATTCGGAAATAGCTACTGTCACGGGTGTCGATTCGTTTTGTTTGGTGAGGGCCCTGCCCCCCTACCCGCTAATGTTGAGTTAGGACCCCACTGTTGACATGGGCCCCCAATATTTTTGGCTGGAACATTACAGGAGTGTAGACACAAGTTGGTAATCATGCAAATCTTATTTATGGTCTTCTCTGGTAATGGCGTCGCCACAGAGGGTGCAGCGGGGTAACTTCACTACACTTCCTCGAAATGACTCCCTCAAATGGAGTTAACTCAAGGCATTGGGTGAACCATTTTTATTCTACATTTTTTGGTGCCTGTTTTGTCTGTCGAACGCAAACCCAGACGCTTGTTCTCACCACATCACAAACCTGATATTGACGTCACTGATTCCCCGGCTCGTGTATTCGCGACGTTTGGTAACCTGTCAATAGTGGGCCATGAAGCTAGCCAAGGCCCTAGAACAGAAGGTATAACCGTCCGGCCAATTTCCGCTGCTTCGACTGATGACGTCACAGGTGTAATCGGCACCCAGTGGTCAGCGGCGGGGACATGCCTTCCGCAGTTTGTTTGACTTTTTGAAGCGGTTCTAAGACTGAGAGCCGTTAAATATCTTGGGCTGGATCATAACAAGACTATTTCTTCTCCGAATAGGTCATAATATCAGCTGCAAGGTTTATTAATCATCAATTGGCTGGCGCCCCAGCCGAGCACCGCGGGCTGGAAAGCCGGGAGACAAACTCTCACAAAGCTTTTTCGGGAATTCATTGCCTAAGTTGGAAATGTCTATGCAAACGGAAAGGGTCAGTCTTTAAGAAACAACAATCAGAAATCATGCTGACATGAAAGGCCAAGGTCAGGACCAATGCTTGCAGACCCCCTTTACATGATTGCAGGGGCTGGGTCGATTGAGGCTTTTCATCTCCTTAAAAAGTATATGCTCTTTGGCTAAGTGAGGATGCTGTGTCACCAACATGTAGATGCCACAATGGCGTCAGATCAAGGTCATTCCATAGGTTAGCGTGATAATTTGCTGTAGTTATGTAATCTACGATTCAAAATATTTTCACATTCATTTTGATCGCATTGTGCAGCTTAAACGTCAGCTAAAAAAATTCTGGTCATTACATAGTCAAGATGTAGGTAGGATGTCAAGATGAGGTTACACGAGGCCAACATGACACGCAGTATGCCAGTCATGGCATGCATGGTTCCGTATTGCTTATCCCACAGGAATCCAATACAATCCCTTTTAATCTTGCATCAGGTCATCTTACTGCCTGAAGAGATCAAAACATGTTGTTTGCTACAGCTT